TCGCTTTTAAGAAAAATAAAAAATAATAATTAAATTTTTTTATACTTAATTGCAGATGCATCAGATATTTAATGGAACATTAATTTAATGTCTCATATTTTAAAAAGTAAATGCAAAACTTTCACTACTTACTTTTCAATTGACTTATTATGATTTGTACAATTGAATTTTAAGATAATTTTATATTCTCAGGAACTGCGATTTTTAAGTCAAGCTCTACATTTATGGAAAGTTGTTATTCATATTGGTAATTTTTTTTTGGCATTCTCTGAGTAGTCTGTTTAACTACGTGATTTTTATGTTATTCTTTTAAATTCGAAAATGTTTTTTTCTTTTCCCACTTGGTATACAACTATATCTAAACCAAGTCCAAGTACCCTTGTGGTCTTATGGAAGGAGAGAAATGGGGGGAGGAGGCAGCTTCTTTTGTGATAGAGCATCCGTAGGTAGAAGTTTGACTAGGCTCCGTGTCGATGAAGAAGGAGGGCTGTGCCTTTCGGGAAGACTTTTAGGGGGGAACTACACTGCAGTTGCATATCGTATGGGAGAAAACCCTGAAAACTACCTACAGTTTCTTTACTTCCCCATCTATATTGGTAAAATTCTTAAACAATCAGATGGAATACTCACCGGTAGTTCTTTGGATTGCTTGGTTAGATCGACCGTAGGCGTGAGAGGTGGTGGTAGTGTGGACATGTAAAATGAAGTTGCAACAGCAGCTGCCCCGGACAAAGCAGCAGCGCCAAATACGCTGCCGATGTATTGCAAGTAGTCCTCCATTCTTCAGGTTTCTGAAAAGAGATTGAAATGCTTATTGTTATTTGTTACTAAAAAAAAATCTAAAATCTATTGATAAACACGGAACGAAATACAAGATTTAAATATAAAGTAGTATAAGATCTAATAATATGTCTAAGTAATTTATTAACAATTTTTAAATGTCTCTTCGTTATAAAAATTTAAAAAAAATTTTATTATTTTAAATCAGTCGAAAATCTTAATTTTCTAATTTTTAATTGAAATTGGTAACGTTTTGTAACTTATCTATTTATTTATTATTTAATTTAATTTAATATAAATTATTTGAAAGAAAAACATGTGCCCTCCCAAAAAAAAAGAACCCCGAAGATATTATTGCAAACAGTATGTTGACATTCATTTTAAAAATGCCTACTAATTAAATATATATATATATATATATATATAAAGTTTAAACTTTCTCATATTAAAAATGTGTAGCTATTCATTTAAGAAATATTATCAGTGGCTTTGAATCTTTGAAGAAATGATGATTAAAATCTTCAGAGCAACAATCATATCCAAAATATTATTATTTTTTATTTATTTATGTGTGTGTATATTTAATTTATTTAATTTAATAAAGAAAATAAATGTTTCTTAGGGCTGAAAAAGGATATAATACATTTATTTAGAGATAAATAATTTAAATTTCATGCCTATATTTTATTTTTTACCAATTTATTGCCATGTTTTCTTTCATGTACATTTTTGCGCGATTGAACAAATTCCAAGGAACTTTTTACAGAAATATATAAAGTTTAAATGTTCTCGTGTTAAAAATGTATAGCTATTCGTTTAAAAAATACTATCATTTGGCTTTGAATATTTTATTTAATTTTTATAAAAAATTTTAAATTATTTTTAAAAAATCGAACTCTCAGATTAAATTCTCAAGAAATACAATCATATACAAAATGTATATTTAATTTATTGCGATTCGAGACTTAAAGTAAAACCTCAGAGTAAATGACATTTCTTACATTATTAAACTTTCTAGTCCAATTAAGAAGATTTCTAGCTAAGAGACTCATACTATTCAATATTCATACTATTGAATTTTTATATGAAGAAATATGTGAGACATTAATTTTCGTTTGATTTGACTTCAGTTTTTAGATATGAAATGACTTTTTAATAGTTTTACTGCATAAATTATTCTTCCTTAATAATATACATATTTAATCAACAAATATATTAAAATATATACTGTAGTTCTTTTTATTTATGTTCTATTTTACGTAAAATAAATTAATGCAAATTTCACTGCTTACTGATCTGTTGACGAAATTTAATAGATAATATTTTTACTGTATCACTATTATTTAAGATGAAAATTTCAACAAAATTCTCATAAATTAGCAGTTTTTATTTCTGAAGTTGACATTTCATGTTTGTGCAAAAAATCAGAAAAAATGTGAAGATTACAGCTAAAAAAAAAAAAAAAAAATAGCCCATCACTTTCAGTGGTTCAAGTCAATCAGCTTCCAATTCCGGAAAGGAAATCTTTCGATCTATTTTTTAAATGGTGTGACCAAATAAACCATGGTATCGCTGCTGAGCTCAAAATTGGCAATTTTGAAACTTCTTTCTCAAAGAAGGAGAAATCTTCACTGTTCAAATGCTTACTTAAAATTTTACAAGCAAGAAAATTTAGAAGTTTCATATTCATACGTAACATAATTCCTAAAAAAATTGTAAGGGCTAGAAAATTAATTTTTCTTATTGTATTCAATAATTTTCAATATAGTAAATGAATCAAAAATTACCTACCACAGATTCCTGAATTAAAAAGATTTACAAATGCTTTTTTAATGCTAAGTTTTAAAATAAATCTTTCAGCGAGACAACCTAACAATGTCTATCACCGATATTCCATTTTTAATACTGAAGTATTATCAACAAATGTGATATAGAATGTTATCTGGACTGTCTTCTTTTGTCATCTTCATTATTTTTATAGAACATTGACACTATAAATCGCTGGACCGATTGCCCAAGTAAACAAACAAGCACTTCTAATGGCAACATATGATTACAAAATAAACATTAAGCAAACAATTGAATAAATTTTTTCCTTTAGTCACCTAATTTGGAGACCACTCTAAAATTAGAAGTACTCGAAAAATGAATTTCTAATAACAGAATTGAACTTTGAATTGGAATGGCTTATCATTCTGAATTATTATCTTAATTTTTCATAACAGTTTCCGTTATTTGTATGTTGCTCCTCACACTCAGTGATTGTAGAAACGATTTTTAGAACCTCGTACGAAGGTCCAAAGGTTATTACGCAGTAAGATTAGCGTAACGTGGTGTGATGTCCCTTATCTACACTCTAACAAAAAAAAAGAGAGAGAGAATGCTCCTATCAAATTAGAAATAGTTTGAAGTATCATAGGTTATCTGGGCATTTTTTTTTTCTTTGCAACCTTCATTCGATACACCCAAATTTTGTGCTACATATCCTCCCCTTGATAAAATACAACTTTTGTTTCAATGTAACAATTTTAATGCAGATTGACATTTAGTATTTTCATTGAGATTGACTACATCATTATTTTATTTAGAATTCAAATCAACTATTTTTACATTGTGTCCGGAAGGGATTACTTTGGAGGCGACGAAATAAATTTGGAAGAATAAATAAAGAATTTTTGAAAAAAATAAAAATTGGTCTTACTTTTTGGGTACAGTAGTATATATATTTTATGTATTTCAGTTGTTATTAATAATTTGACAGGATCAACAATGAATGATTGACTAATGTTTTTTTTTATTTCCAATGTCAGCCTACAATAAGCAATAAAATAAAAAGAACACAAGGATTATAAAAACAACAACGAGAAACGAAGGAAATCACGTAGTGACATGTTTAGCCCATAAGATCCTAGCTTCCCAGTAACGACCATACACAATAGAGGAAACAAGTGCAGGGCAGACAGGAAGGTGGGATGAATCCATGTCCTCTCCCAGATTACAGAGCATGCATTTTGGGCTTTCAAATATTCTTATTCTGAAAAGGTGATTGGCCAAACAATCATGGGCAGTCAGAAGTCTGAAAAGGGCAACTGCTTTAAGCCTGGGCTGATCAGGGATGTTTGCAATAAAGTTAAACCAGTTTTTGGCAATGATTGACTAATGTATTACGCTATATAATTTTTTTATATTGTTCAGAAATATTGTGGACCAATACGTAAACAACATATATATTACGTTGTACTATGTATTAACTAGAGTACAAAATGATGCAGGTTCGATTCTGTGGCACTAATACCTATTCGATTCTACTACCGATTCGTACTACTATAGATTCGACTCGATGGCGCTGCTATCATTGATATGCAAAATGAATTCACTTCTGTATTTTCATTGAGATACATCATTATACATTTAATTAGAATTCATTTCAACTATTCCGTACGTCATATTTTATGTATTCAAGTTACTATTGAGAATTTAACAAAATATAATAAATATGATTGACTTATGTACTATAATAAATGAATGATTAACTTATGTACTACGCTGTATAATTTTATTATATTATTCAGAAATATTGTGGTCCCATTCGTAACCTACGTATAGATTACGTTGTACTATGCATTAACTAGCGTACAAGATGGTGCAGGTTTGATTCTATGGCATTAATACCGATTCGATTCTATTATCGATTGGCACTACAATAGATTTGACTCGATGGCACTACTATAATTGCTATGCAAAATGAATTCACTTCTGTATTTTCATTGAGATTGATTGCATGATTACATCACATATTATCATCAGTACTTCACATTTTATGTATTTCAGTTACTACTGACAAGATAATAAATGAATGATTGACTAATATACTAGCTATATAATTTTATTATATTGTTCAGAAATATTGTGGGCCTATTCTTAACCTATATACCGTATATATTGCTTTGTACTATATATTAATTAGCATACAAGATGATGCAGATTCGATTCCATGACACTGATATAGATTCGATTCTACTATAGATTCACACTTATAGATACGATTCAATGGCACTACAATCATTGCTGTGCAAAATTATTTCACTTTTGTATTCTTATTTCATTTATTTATTGCATCATTACATCATTATATATTTATTTAGAATTCAAATCAAACATTCAGTACATCATATTTTATGTATTTCAATTACCATTGAGAATTTGGCAGGATAATAAATGAAGTCAAGCATCATTGGGCGCGGTCAGTACTTGGGTGGGTGACCACCTGGGAACACTGCGTGCCGTTGGCAAATTTGGGACCTGAATGGCCGAGTGTCTAGCGCTCTGGCGCTCGGTGCCACAGGTTTCGGGTTCGAATCCCGGCGGTGCCATGGATGTTTGTAGTGGTTCGGAATCCACTTTAAGACGTAGGTCCCGGTCTTCTATGACTGTAAGAGCGTCACGGAGCAAAAGTCAGGCTTCTACCTACGGGTGCTCCATCATAACAGAAGCTGCTTCCTTCCCCTTCAATCATGAGTCCATATGGGCTTGTGGGCTTGGCCAGCCAAGTGGGATAAGAAACAACAAAACAACAACATAAATGAATGATTTACTAATATACTAGGTACATAATTTTATCCCATTGTTCAGAAATGTTGGGGACCCATTCGTAACCTATATATCATATACTATATATTACGTTGCACTATGCATTAACTAGCGGACAAGATGGTACAGGTTCGATTCTATTCCACTAATACCGATTCGATTCTATAATCGATTCGTATAACTATATATTCGATTCGATCTCTACTATCAATGCTATGCAAAATGAATTTATTTGGTAGAGTTTTCAAGTTTTTTTTTTCAATATGACATTCAGATGTGAGGCAATTTACCTTTGAAACCCCTCCTAGACGAATCTTCCCTCGCACACCGTTTTAAGAGAGAATATTGACACATTGAAATCATATCCATTGTCATAAAGATGTCAACATCACCAAGTCTCGAAACTTCTCCCTCTTCTACTGAAATCTATCATAGTTTAGGCTAGATGACTGAACACTATCACCTCAAATGCTAGGGCATCGGAAATATTTATAATTTGCTATTACAATCAAAGCGATTATAGTTAATTAATTATTAACCAATATGATGTTATTTCTAATTTAATAAAACTACTGATTATTTATTAAATTAAAATTTATTTTCAAAATTAATTTGTTGATTTTTGAGACTCGTAAACCTCATCCTTTGCAGGTGTTATCAGCTTGAACGAGACACGTGTTATCTTGCATTTTATTCATCAAGGTTTTTCTGAATAAAATGAAAGTTATCACTGAAATAGATATAAATAGTCACAATAGCTTATTACTTAATGGTACAGAAAATTTTTATTTTATAAATAGTTGGGAGCAGTTTTTGTATTTATAATTGTATGAAATAATAATAAATATCAAATCAAATATTAAAAAAATTTGTATATAAAACAAAAGATTTATGTATGTAAATATATGTATTTATTATAACTGCAAAACGTTTTGCTTGGGAAATGAAATTTAAAAAAAACTATTTAAAATTTATATATTATTTATTTTTTATGAAATAATTTTTTAACAATACCAATAAAATTTTAAAACAAGAAATATATAAAAAAAAAATTTAAGTCAATTCCTACTTTTTTTTTTTTTTTGCAGAAAGTCCTTTATAAACAATTTTCATTCATTTTTTTAAGTTAAAAAAAATTCTCTCTCTCTCTCACTAATTTATTCACATGTTTCATTTTCCATTTTGTTCCTCCTTGACTCAGACTACAACCCAGAATGAAAAAAGAATCTGAAAAAGATTTTGAAATTTTTTTCTAGCGATCTGCAAGTTTCGCCACTGACGGTATTTATTCCTAACTTTATATCCTGCTAAATATCTGATATAAGAGAAATATATTTCTCCTGATATAAAACTAAAATTAATGAATTAAATTTAATTAATGAATCAATATTTGAAAGCTATTCACTACAAGTTTAAAAAAAATGTATTTGAAATTGAGTGGAGGAATAAAAAGTATCTTATTAATGATTTAAAATTTGTACATGATATATAAATATATATAGGGAGAGTGTGAACTAATAGTAGGAATTGAAAAACACATTTTTTTAAATTTTAATATTTAATATTATTTTATTTTTTTAATGCATCAAAAATGTATCCTATTGATAATTTGGTTTTTATTATAATATTTGTAAGTTTTTACAGAGTATTGATAGACACGTTTATTAATAAACAGATATTAAATTTTTAAAATCGCTATAAAAAATTTTATTCTATCAAAATTTAGAAAAATAACTTCTAAAAAAAATATTGAAATTATTTATATATTTCAATATTACATATATTGATGCTTCAAATATGGAGAAAGCTATCGAATATTCTGTGATTCATATTATGGCAAGAGGACAGATATCGCTACAAGCATTAAATATATATTTAATACATTTGCGAGGAGAAATTTCCAAAAACAAAAATATCCTTTATGTTTAAGAAGGAAACTGTTAATTATTTGTTCATTTTATTGCTTTGCTATTTTAACAAAAGATCTGTAAAAGTTTTAAAATATATAATGGTAAATTAATGAAAAGTATAATTGTTAAATAAAGCATATTAATTTCATGAAATAATCTAACTTAAATCAAAAATTAAACTGTTGTTGTTGTTCTAATGCAGCTGGCAATACAGAGATAGTTATGCCATAAGCAAATGCTGCACCACTGTTACTCATTTAACACTACCCAGGGGGGCACGTGTAGATTGAAGATATGCTACGGACGCGAGTAACACTACCCCTCAAAAATGAATCTGATAAACAAATAAAGCTTTTAATTCTAAATGCTTATAATTCTAACCTGAATTTTAAATTCTGTGATTGTTGTTGTTTTTTTTCTTAATGAATAAAAAATAAAAAAAAATTATATATCTTATACATGTCATCTGCTTAGATTTATAAAATTTCAAATGTATTAAATTACATACTTTCTGAAATTGTAGCATTTATTAAATGTGTATTGAAAAAACAGAACAATTAATACAACTGAGAAAAACAAAGCATTGCATTTCAAAGGTTAAAAATTCATTTATCCCCCATTATTCACGATATTCTTTAGAAAAAAAGTTGAACAATGAGAAGGATGCATTCTATCAATTCTTTATCAACTGATAACAGACTCGGTTTTTTTGAAGAATGCATACTCGTGCCAAATACTAAACACGTGCTTGAGTACCTTGAATTATCTGAAAGAAATGATGACAGAGTAGACTTGTAATCCACTACAATATTCGTAATAGTTTTGCTTAGCTAGAATAAAATTGAATCGTACGATTTTCAAAAAAATAAAAAATATATACTTGAAAAACTTTTTTTTATCTTCGGATGTAAACATAATATTATTGGGTTTGGAATGAACTGAAGGATAGGATGTTGAATTTTTGACTTAAGGAAGATTGAATTGAAACCTTATATTTGAAGTTGAATGAAACCTTTCCTTGTCTATGTTGTCGATGATCGGCTCTACGCACAGATATGTCATGTATAAAGTAGTAGCAACAGTAATATGCTGAGGATAGAGACACGAAATATGTAGGTTGAAAAGTTCCTGCGGTGGATTTAAGGAGAATGGAGGACGATGCGAACACATGAGATGCCTTATTTGCCGGTGCTTGATCCAAACTGCTGAGCACCAAAGGCTGGCCTTCTTTGATAATGAGTTTTGACGTGTAGCTTAGTAGTATACCAAAGATAGGCACCTCTAAACACCATTGAAAAATTCCTCAGTTGAGTTTAAGGAGAAAGATGAAAACAATTTAGATCCCCCCCTTCCCTGGGGAATTGGATCCAAATTACTGTGGTACAACGGCAAACCTTTTATAATGAGTTTTGACGTGTGGTGTAGTATTAGTATACCGAAGATAAACACGACAAATATGTAGCTCGAAATGTTCCTCCATTAGGTTTAAAAATAAAAGAGAAAGATGCGGACACATTGGACGTCTTCCTGAGGGTGCTTGTATCAAATTGTTGTGGTACCAATGACAGGCGTTTTTTTATAATGAGTTTTGGTGTGTGGTATAGTAGTATGTCAAAGATAAACACTGCAAATAAGTAGGTTGAAAAATTCCTCAATTGAATTTAAGGAGAAAGATGCAAATATATTAGATGCCCTCCTGGGGATATTCGATCTACAAAGGCAGCCTTCTTTTATAATGAGTTTTAACATTTGGTGTAGTAGTAGTATACTGAGGATAAATACAACAAATATGTAGCTTGAAAAATTCCTCCATTGGGTTTAAAAAAAGGAGAATGATGCGAACACATTAGATGCCTCCCTGGTGATATTCGCTCCAAATTGTTGGAGCCCCAATGAAAGGTGTTTTTATTATGAGTTTTGACGTGTGTTATAGTAACATGTCGAAGTCAGACAATATAAATATGTAGGTTGAAAAATAACTCCGTTGAGTTTAAGGAGAAAGATGCAAACATATTAAAGGACTCCTGGGGGTGCTCGATCCAAATTGCTGGGACACCAATGGTAAACTTTCTTTTATAATCAGTTCTGGCATGTGTTTTTGTAGTAGTAGTAGTAATAACAATAGTATACCGAAGATAAACACGCCAAATATGTAAGTTGAAACGTTCCTCCATTAGGTTTAAAAAAAAGGAGAAAGACACATTGGATGCTCGCTTGAGGGAGCTTGTTCCAAACTGTTGTGACATCAATGAAAGGCTTTCCTTTATAATGAGTTTTGACGTGTGGTATAGTAGTATGCCAAAGATAGACACTACAAATACGTAGGTTGAAAAATTCCTTAATTGAGTTTAAGGAGGAAGATGCAAACACGTTAGATAACCCCTGAGGTACCAATTGCAAACCTTCTTTAATCCGTTCTGACATATGGTGCTGTAGCAGTAATGGTACTAGTAATAGTATACCGAAGATAAACACAAAAAATATGTAGCGTGAAAATTTCCATCATTGCGTTTAAAAAGAAAGGAAAAAGATGCAAGCATATTAGATAACCCTGGGGGCGGAGGGGGCATCCAAATTGTTTGGGCACCAATGGCAAACCTTCTTTTATAATGAGTTTTGACATGTAGTGTAGTAATAGTAGTAAAGATGAACACAACAAATATGTAGCTTGAAAAGTTTCTCAATTGGATTTAAAAAGAATGATTGATGCGAACACATGAGATCTCCGCATAGGGGTGATTGTTCCAAATTGATGTGGCATCTATGGCAGACCATCTTTTATAATGAG